TTACCCCTTCGTCACCCCTATAGGCGCAGCGTTATACGAGAGCTTCATAATCAAATTGTGACGTTTACGTAAAAAAGTTCAAGGTAGTTTTCCTTAATATATTACTTTTTTTTAACGGGTTGCACATCACCAGGTAGCATTTCTTCAATTGCTATATAAATAGTAGTTTACATAACTCTCTCTGAATTCTCCTCTGTTCGACGTTTTACCCGGCTAGGAGCGTGACTGTATGTATATGAAGGTTCGTTTTAAAATTCCTCGTGTGACAAAAACAAGTCCTTGGAAGCTATAAATTACCATATTTCTTCTATTTGGCTTCAGGTGGATGTTTGCCGTTATTCTATCAGGATCGGCCGTCTGCGCCCGTGCATCTAATAGACTCACTAACAAAGGGCTTGTTAAAATTCTTTCATATCGAACCGCTACGTTAAACTTGTTCTTTATAAAAAAAAATCTTAAATTCATTTATTTTTTGTTGTCTCCTTAGTGTATTGTATTTTAATTTTTATAATTAAATTGTTTTGATAACAATAGCAAGAATAGAAGTGAATTTTATTTAATAAAAATAAAGCTAATTAATGGCTAGATTTGGGGCGCCTACCTGGAGAAGTTATGTAAGTAATAATTTACTGTCTCTCAAAATTGCTTGGAAACGTGAGCATTATTTTGACTGGCCTAATACATGCGAGCAGCCGCCAGTAACAGTTTGTATGAAAATCTATATTTGTCATGTTTAGCGACCAAATAAATTACATAGTATATTCATATCTGGAAAAATTACACGAATTTAAAAATGGAATGATCTTTTACTCTGAAACTTGGCAACCATAGAGGTAACTTAAGAAAGGTTTTATATAATATCGAACGGGATTTAAAAATAGAAAGCTTTTTATGTAAAAAAAAAAAAACAAATGAACACTATAACATGGGAAAAATATTGTGGTTTGTTGTTCGTCATTGATATTCCATAATTTCGAATGTTCTTTTGACTTAGTTTAAATTCCGCGCATAATTTGAGACCAGTACTATACATTCATTGACCACAACTGGACATTAATGGACTGACGCATATGTGCCTCGGCTTCACTTTGGGCCACATTTACACGTCCATCCATCGATGCCTCTTTTTCTAGCCTCTGCAGTAATGTACTATACCTTTGGTGGTGGTATATTTCTATTGGTTGATAAGATTAAAGGCTTTACGAGGTAAGGGATGAGGAATAGGGATACCTTTCTGATTAAACCGAAACCCTCAAGTTCGAGTGGTCTAAAGGCTCCAGACGGAGAGGAGACCCCCCGCGGGGAGATGCCATCCGCCTGGAATACCTCTAGAGGTACTCGTCAATTCTCGGCTTGAGGTCCCCTTTTTTTTATAGATAGGTCCGACAAATGACTCCACCCCACCTGATGTTGTGAAGGTGAAGTCCAGACGCGAAGATAGCTGATACAGCAGTTCTTCCTGCCACACCAGCCATCCTCACCCTGCCAGCCTGCATGTTGCTTCTTCACGCCTCTTTTAAAGGATCCCAGGCTGTAAGAGGGAGAGAACACGTGAGCGAGCAGAGCATTCCATTTAGTGATAGTGATCCTTAGGATCTCGCCGTCCCCAAACCCGGTGACGCTGTAAAGGTCATCTGCATACAAACTAAATAAAAACCTTTCTGACGCATCAGCTGCACCTTTGAGTCTTGACTCCACTTTCACTTAACATCAGGTCAGGTTCTGTACTGCGCCTAGTTAAAAAAAGGTATAATGTACTAAGAATACGAAGTACTGTCAAATTTAGGTTTACGTTTTAAGAAACAAGCCAGATCCAGACATCGGACCCAGCAGTGGGAATGTACAATCAGGCAATTTGATTCCTGACCCACAATAAGCTTATTTTGTTACAACCATTTTAAAACCATTAGAAAGATTTTTGCTTCAATGTACGTAGCCCTGAAAACAAACTTGTTATTTTTTGAACAATTACATTTGACGAGACAGATTTTGCCGCCTTCCTGTGACATAATTTTGACATTAAATTATTTGGAGTTTTTCCCATGGACTGAGAATTTCCCTATTATTTTACCAACGTTTTTAATAATGTCAACAAATCGAATGAGTTTCACGATTCTAAAGGATTTTTAAGGTTTCTTCGAAATTTAAAATACTATTTCAATTTTAGTTATAACATGATCTATTGTATTGAAAATAAAGGTCAAATACCTTTTGGTCTATATTAACGCAGTTTCCTTGTTATTTATTAGAAGTGCAATTACACATTCTCTACAAAGGAAAACTTATCGGTTTTGGCATTTTAAGCGAATTATGGGGCAACTGGAGGTACTTTAGAGGTTCTTTTGTTATTATTTTCGGTCTAATTTCTATTTTTGCAACATTTATATAATAATAACTCGTTCTTCAGGCACTTCATCCAAAATCGTACTCATATCGGTAACAGATAAGTGTTTTGGGTTATCAAAAGTAATGTATGTTATTATCAATATTTGTCGTTATTACTATTACCTTCTCAATGGCAAATGAGGTTGAAACAATACACTTTTTTAATGTTCTGGCAAAGACTTATTAGTATTATTAGTAAATAAGTAACTACAATTGCTTATCACTCTTATAAAAAGTTGTCGATAGTCAGAAAAAATGTATTGCTTTTCGCACTTATTAAAGAAACAAAAAGGTATTTTCATTTAGAATAGTGTATCATTGAATAATAGAAAATCTGAAACGATTATTCTTTCGATTAAAGTATCTTAGAGCAATAAATATGATACATGTTATTGAAGATAGACCAAATATCTTACCTACTTAGATTGTAGACAGTAAATTTAATTCCAAATTATTTAATAAATGCATTTACATCAACTACTTATGTAAATGAAATTTATGTTATTTCATTTGCGATAACAGTATCAGGGTCACGATTTCATGCGTACTTCAATGTAAAGCATGTTATACTTACACACTTTTCTTTTACACAATAGTCGATTTGTTGCGTCATTCGTGCCATCGATCGATTTGAATATGTTAGAAGTCAGGTTAACATCAACACAACTGTCAAAATGATCCATAAAATCAAATTGCTCACGCTCGATCCACATAGATAATAAATAGCAATCACCAAATACACCTCCTAACCGTGTCATATACAAAACATAAAACGCAAAAAACTGGCCAAGCGTGAGTCCGGGCTCGCTCTATTAGGGTTCCGTCCGTACAATGAACTTCACAACTTACAAATTAGCGTTTCATTATGAATTAGCGTTTTCAATATTATATGTTGTTAAAACACTGTATATAAGACATCATACATCAAAATTTCACATTCTTAACTAGTTTTAATTTTGAGATAGACCCCGTAACAAAAATGTCAGCTAATGTTGTTGTTATTGAAAATAAAAAAATAATAAAAATTATACTTTTGTATCCTACTAAATGAGCTTTAGACAATGATGTGTCACATGCTGGGGCAAAAAAAAACTCCCTTTTCTTCTTGCCATGTATGAAAAAATGTTTAATTGAATGTTCAGCTAAATATTCGGCTTTGTGCAAGCATTTTACATAAAATACCAAAACTTTAGTTCTCCAACTGATTCCGTTTACGATCTTGATATCTATGACAAACGAGCAGATAGACAGAGAGACGAAAGGGTGACAACAATTGGGTTCCATATATACACTTTGAATATGGAACCCTAAAAATTACAAACAAAAATGCCAGACTTTTCTAAATGAAATTGCTATGTTTATCTTAAGATTTATCTAAACTTGTTTTACAAAGAAAATGTTTAGAAGGAAACAATCAATTTATAGTCAAAAACTGTTATTCTGATCAAGTGACAAAAACTTCTTTGTATTCGAAAAGAAGCGGCAAACCTCTTTTGCAGTTGATTGGCATATCTTTCAGATTTATAGTTGTGACTTGAGTTTAGATAGGATTTCACACGTTAAAAACTTGCCACGTTTAATTTCTTTTCATATATTAATAAAATAAAAAGTATATACATAGTAAAAGTAGTTTTTCGTAAAGGGAATTTACTGAATCAACCAGTCCATTAAAACACAAAATCTGCATCCCTAAACTTGTTTCAGCATACACGTCGGAATATGTCGGCCATCACTTATTTGATTCAAATTCTTGATGTTAACTTAATTTGATTTTTAAACTTGAGTTAGTCACGGTATAATGCATTTCGAGCGACTTAATTATATCGCTTTAGCCCTTTTTATTTTATTTCTGGAGTCATTTTGATCTTCCGTGCATGATATGAAATTTGTCTGTCGCCTGTCTGTACGAATCTCGGTTAGTTTCAAAATGCTTCGAGAGATTGAATTCATTCATTACAGCAATTATGGTGCAAGGAAGGCTTAGTTCTGCCCGATGCGCGATGTGAGTTAAATTCATTAAATAAAGATTCTACGCAAAGTTTTAACTAATATGTTTAGAGTGCGAACTTAGTCCTGCCTTATTTAGAATTTATTCGATGTGTGTTTCTTTACCTAACAACAATAAAGTTAATATCAAATTAGAGTTTTTTTTTAATGCTTAATAGGCAAGGCGTTTGACCACAATCTCGCCTGATGGAAAGCGATGATGAGGCCTAGGATGGTACACGCCTGCCTAGAAGATGCCTGATCACTCTGGCCTCGAAGATGTCCAGATTATATTGTAAAAGTAAAAGAGTTCTGCGTTTATGTCACATACAAGTTTAAGATTTTTAATAAATGAAGGATTGTGAAAAAGAATACTTTTGGATTTGCTAATCAGATTAGTGGCGAGGAGCCACAAATATTTTTTGTGAATTCTTATTTTAAAGTTGAAATGAGCAGTCAAGGATATTTCACAGCTTTCATCACTAAATCTGGAAGGTATGCATTTGAGATTTATGTATGACTAAGCTCGGGTTCTCGAGCTACAGACAAAATAAGATAAGAATGCAACAAAAGTCTCTGTAACGAAATAGTATTCGCTATTCATTAGTTACTTGTCCGACTGCGTGTTGCGCCAATTGTGTTTGACGGCAGTCGCTCGCAAGCAGGTGCGTAGTGCGCGCGTGCCTCCATTACTCAAAACAACAGCTGTTCGCGTAGCCGCCATCGCGAACTACAATTTCGAAAATTAGAACACTCCAGATTGGGAATTTGCCATTTATATTTCCATGCACTCAAAATAAAATCAAAGGTACAGTGCACCAGTGTTAACCCGACGGACAAATGAAGATGACAGTTAATCGAATAAGAGTTGTGGTGCTGGGAAGTGCACGGTGTGGAAAATCAGGTGAGAATTTTCATTGTTTTCGTAGAGGTATTTATTTGTTTTTATATATATATATATTATGTTATATATGGATAATGAAGCCTGAAGATCTTTTAGAGCATATCAAAATATATTATATTCGTAAATATTTTTAAATACTTAATTGAACTTCGTACATTATTCAATGCCAATTAAAGCTCTTGCTGACTCCACCTGCAAGACTTACAAGCGTCTATATTTGTATGCTCTTTTTTGTTGAACTTGATGTCCAAATCAATTATGCTTAATGGCTTAAAAAGAAGAGCTTTGATTTATTTGAAAATGCCTGCAGCTTAATCAGGGCTTTTAATTTAATTACAGCGTAGTAGATAAAGGTTCTTCTAAACACTTTAATATTTAACCATGGTTAATTAACAAGTCACATCATTACAGATTTTACAATCATTGTTTTTAGTTTGTTTATTTTTTCACATGGTTGAAGAGAATTTTATTGTAACTATTTGAGATAGGTAAATAATACACAGTTTTTTTTTAATTTAATATTTTACATTCACGATTTCGTTTTAATGTCATCAAACAACTCTATAAATGTGATATTTATTTTGCATGTGCTGGTTTTAAAATTTATTTTCGATGTGGCAAATAATTTATTCCTTACTTTAAATTGGACGTTATGTGCAAAAAAAGATTAGCAAAAATTGGGTTGTATAATTAATAAACTGTTTTATAAACTAATGTGTTGACGATATAACCGAAGGGTTATTTATTGAATACTGAGCCACTGTTATCGAATAACTATTCGGCTGCTTAGGAAGCGTAGTTTTGTACGTGCTCCCTAGACAATTAAGTTATTATCTATTTAGTTGTCTAGCTACGTACGTAAATGACAGTATTGCACAAATGTTGATTTACAAAACATTATGTATGTCAGTAAGAAGTTATTTTAAAGCAATCATTTGAAATCCTGATTCCATACTTTTTAATAACAGCAAATAAAAAACAATCTGACGTGTAAATAAATGAGGTCCAAATAATAACTTAACTATTATAACTAAAAAGTTATAAGCATTTATATTTGGTTTCAACAACATTATGCATTTATTTAATTACGATTTCACGGTCCCTTTAGAGTCTATGGAAATCAGTTTGCTGAACCATATATTTTATCAAGAGTCATGATTATCAATCTTGATGAGCCTTCAAAAAATGCTTTACTGTGATTTTCGAAAAGCTGCAATTTCAAGAATTATTTTACTTTTATCTTCTTCTGTTTTTATATTAGCACGTGAGTCCTACTTCTCTAATAGATAATTTTTAGTAATGTTGGAATAATAACAATATTTCTTTATTTAATGTGAAGAGTTAACCCCTATTAAATGATTAACGCCTTTGTAAGTGTCGTGGGACTTAAGCATTAATATTTGTTTATCTAATTTTTGATACAAATTCTAATAGAGGTACATCATCGCCTTTGTTAGATTCCGGTATTTTTTTGCACGGCTCTTGTTCTTATCAGCCATGTCGCGATATACTCTGATAAGTGTAGTGTAGAGTAAATATACTAGCGGGCGATTCCATGATTGCAATCCTAATGCAAATATTGATAATGTATAAAACTTTGGAATGCGCATTGTTTTAGTTTGTTTGTATTTGAAGTGTGCATTCCTATATTCATACTGTGTTTTTCTGTTTGTCTGTCTGTTATCTCTTCACGCTTAAAATTATATTTGGTACAAATATCATATGATTTATAAATGAAAAGAAATGAAACCTCTTTTGTTAAATAACCTAACATAAGCGGTGTATAAGGCATAGGGGAATGGAGCAGCGCACGCATCCCTCACACACCCACACACACTCACATATACATATATATATAGTCTTGTGACGCTGGCGACGCATTTCCGTTTCATCTTTTCCATAGGATTTTGTGTCAATCTGCAATAACTATAGTGTCTTTTCTTCATTGTATATACTCGATTGATTTTCACGCACGTTGTGTTTGCCCCATCATCGAGGCATAAAATGTATGTTAAGATTATAAATACTGTTTTTACAAAAAATAGAACTACTCTTAATTTTCCAGTAAGCCGTAAGGGTCAATTAAATGACCAGGGGCTGGCTATGAATGAAGAATATAAGATAAAGACCAGGCAACCAATCTGAACTCGTTTGAATATGCTAAAGTAATCTTCGTGAATTCAGTCATCACACAGTTGTGTCCACTCTGTCTGGAAATACGGAATGTAAATTTCCTTCTAAAAACTAACAAAGTATTGCAAAACATCTTTACTAATCAAAAATAAAGAAATAGTTGAGAGAGTGAGCAATTTTAGGTGGCTAAGAAAAACGAACTTCATTATTTATCAGGAACAAGTTGTTAGTACTCTATATTCATTGTGTAACAGACGAAGCTACTAATTATCGGACTGACTTTTAAGCTCCATCATCTTATTACAGTTTAAAGTTTAACCCGGCCTAAAAAGTTGCTGTCACTTTTGTGTTCTAAAAAGAAGGCAGAGCATTAGGTTTAAACTAAGACTGACTTTGATCCGTGTTTTGGAATAAGGCGGCTGGAGGTGTGGCTTCTAAGAGGAGGCTCTATACGAGCACTATTTTGACTGAACTGAAGCTTAGCTAAGTGGTGATCATGCTCGAAATCTAAACCAACTACGTAATGGATATATGATTATTAGATGGAATAAGTGATTTTTTACCTACTTAAATTTGATTTTAATTTTCTTAAATATTATTATCTCACTAAACTATTCAAAAATTTTTTTTTACTATCCTCAATTAAAAGATTTTTTTTTTATTGTAAGCGGTAAAAAGTTCGCCGGGTGCAGCTTGTATGTATAACAGATATTAAGTAATTCCTAATCTTATTTGCGAATGCTCATTCCAATGAAGATTAACTTAATTGAATTATTTCAATTGGTGTCACAAAGTCACAAGTGACAGTAATGTACGGATTATGTATGTGAATGTCACCTGAGCGTTGGGACTTAGGGCGTTCAATGTCAATATGGTGTAATCAATATACAAATTGTGCCGGACTTTATAAAACACTAGCTTCTGCCCGTGACTTCATCCGCGTTAATTTGGATCGCACAATTTTCTATCAGAACCTTCGACTATGTATTAACATTGGTAAAGTATGTTTCACGTTATGGAATGACCAAGAGATAAAGATATTCATTTCCTTGTGTAAAGAAATTTGAAGCACTAAAGTTTAAAGAAAATTTTCTGTTAGTTATCCTTGCTGTTTGCTTCAATATTTCTTTAAAATGACATTAAGCATTATTTACACTCATAATTATTAGTATGCTGTTATGCTAGGAGCATCTGATGTTAAAAGTAAATAGAGAAAAATAGCGAAGATGTAGTATTAAAGGTCTAGTCATCCTTATCTTTCTAGTAATCCTGTACTTGGAGCCTTGTAACCTTATTCACCTACAGAAACTCAACACCACACCATATGTGTGTTTTTTTAATGTTAAAAGGGTGGTAAACAATCATTTTTCCCACTCGATGGCAAGCAGCCACCATAGCATAAAGACGCTTGTGATACAAAAAATATCACTCGCCCTCTTGCCTACCCTGTCACAATCCCCTATCCCGTGGAGCCCTGAAACCTTACTCACTGACCCGACAGATACACAACACCACCAAAAGGTAGTATTATTACTGTGTTCCTCTGTAAGGTGGAGATTACTTCCCTACTCAAACGGAAAATCCCCTATGTTCTGCCTCTATTAAAACGTGTTTCTTTATTGTAGTCTTCTGTAAAGATGCCATAGCCTACTACAAAATAGCCACTTACAAAAAAGATATTCAGCTTCAAACGAGTCGTTATTATTGTCAGTAAAAAAAGACAAGCCAACTCGATGATCGCTTACATTTGAGTCCGGAACTACCTTACTCGATACAAATAATATAATCTTCAACTCTCCGCGTGGGAAAATTTGCAGCTAAAGAGCATTCGGTTTTTTTTTCGAGCTTACCAGTCGAGGGCGCATGGAAAATTACAATTTATAATACCTACATACTTACACATAATAAAGGATCTAATCAAATAGAAGTTTTGTTCTTGTTTTCAATCAAATTAGAAATAGTTATATTCAAAATAATAATTTAATAAAGTTAACATATTGTCCCTTTTTGGATCATGCTCGTTTGTAAATATTTTTTGAAACTATTATACTATATGACGCGATTATTTCGCTATAGTTTTCATAGGCTACTCCAAATATGGTAAGCACATGTATTAGAATTCCATTTCGTTTTTAGATAATGATTTCAGTGGGCATCGTTTGTCACGCTTGTTATTAGGATTTTACATTAGTCACTGCGCAAATCAGTCTATACTGAAAATGTCCCGCCATCATAACTCCACACGAGCCCGCGTTTCATTTCACCTACGCAACTCGTAACACGGTGGTAAATCAGCTCGAGATGTCGACTCATGGAGCAATTATTTGCGTCTGCAACCGATTACTAGACATCGATAAGAGTGGACGTATTTACGTTATCGCATCTCTACTTAGTTGTAATTTATACGTATTAAATTATCTGTGATCATGGAATTGTTTCGAAACATTCTGATTGGGATGATAAAATATTCTCCAATAGTATTATTTTCGTACATTAAGAGACTAGTGGTAGAAGAGCTTGACACTGTCACTTATGCAAAAAAAAAATTGTACGTTTTGGGATGTTAAAGTTTTAAACGCTTCTCCTGAAAAATGATTTTTTTGCATAAGTGACAGTGTCGCACCGGAGGTGCGTTATGTTTATCCATACATTATTATTGAAAATTCGACCACTAAGAGATTATCATTGAAAGTTTGTGTGAAAAACGTCAATCTTCAAGGTAGGTAATAACTTTTTGTAGAATCATCCTCGAAAGCTCGAAAGGGTGAAAATACAGTTAAAACTTGCATTGTAATAAGACTGACCAAATCTGACTGCCTAGGAATTGACAAATGCTACGATCTCGCGACGTCATACATCTTAAGGCA